GGGATAGGAGAGGAGTAGTCGTCTTAAGCTCTTCCGAGAGATTCTACGTGGTATCAGATAGATAAGATTCAGTTTAGGCCAGCAGTCTTTGTCCTGAAGCAGAGTGTCTGCCGATGTCGCCTCGCTAGTATGAACGGCGGTCCCCCTATGCTTATGAGTGAGGTTCCGATGCCTAGAGGGAGCGAGGGAGCGGGGGAGGGAGGGAGGGAGGGAGCGAAGGTAGAACGAGATAGGAGAGGAGACAATCATGGAGCACGGAGAAAGAAAGAAGCAAGGCGATATCATATACTTCCGTCCATCCTTGCTCGTTGATTCCCACCAATCCTTTGTCTTCCTCCAAGGATCTGACATGATCAGTCACAGATTTATGGATTGAAGAGCTCCGGGCTCTTTACAAGTGCTGATGCTGGGTACCAACTGCTTGCTCGTCAGATTTGCCTTCTTCTTCTCAGTCTTGTCCGTGACAAGTTCTGACTTCCTCTCCGAGTTGAGTCTTTCCTCTCACTGCGAACCCGTCTCAAAATCAACAATACCAATCTCTTTGCCCACCAAACCCTCTGCTACAAGTCACCTCTCTCCTGTGCGAAACGAGCAGGACAAGCAACAAGAGCAAGTTCCGCTCTCTGCTCTCCACGAGGCAGTGGCTGATTTGAGCTGGCGGACTCCGCTTCCACATGGCAGCCGGAGCTCAGCTCGTCATGTCGAAACGTTCTCGCAGAAATTGCGGCAAGCTTACGATGAGAACCTGAACATGCGGAACGAGATCCTCGGGCTGCGCAATGTGCTAGAACAACAAGCCCAGTCCCTGTCAAAGTTCAAGAGCGCGATGGAGAACGCGGTAGAGGAGAGGAGTGGGGAGTTGGGGGGAGGGAAGGGGGGGGGTGGGGCAGGAAAGAAGGAGGGGATGGGAGGAGGGCGAAGGAGGGAGGGTAACCACAGGTCTTTAGGTGAAAGAAAGGGAGAAACACAGCGAGATGATCATGAAGAGAAACAAGAAGTTGAAGAAGAAGGTGAGGAACTGATGAGGACAGCGGAGTTGATGAAGATAGTGATGATGCCGGATTTCTTCCAGGTCTCTTCACAAGAATCTGAGATCGAACATCTGAGAGAGTAAGTCACGTCCACCTTCCTTCTTCTTCACCCCCCGCTCCCCTCCTGCCCTCCTTGATCCCCCTCTTATCTTCATCGCCCTCGGGACCTTGCACCACTACCATCCCTCCTCCTCCACCACCACATCCTCCTCCTCCTCCTCCTCCTCTCAACCTCCCCCTCCTTCCTCTCTTCGTCTTCCTCGTCCTTATCCTCTTGCTCGTCCTCTAACTCGTCCTCCTCTTCCTCCCTTCACCTTCTCCTCTTCCCTCTCATCCTCCTGGCAGGACTCTCCGTCACCATGTTGACTCCATGGGATCGCTCGGGCTGCAGCTGCAGGAGGTGAAGACTGGTCGGGAAGGCTCAGGTTTGACTTGCTTCAGGTCTGTCAGCGTCGCGATGAAGGGGAGCAAGAAAAAAGTCAACTCATGAGCCAAGTTGACGGCTGGCGGTCTCTTTGTTCCGCTGCCCTCCTGTGCTCTTGACATGGTCTTGTCGTTCAAGCAGGAAAGCTTCTTCCTTCTTTCTCTTCCGATCTCTTTGCGTGCAGGAGGCGATCACAACCTGCGTGAAGATGTTGTTTCTCAGCTCCTTCCTTCTCCACACCTTCGTGTGGATGAACCCCGCTGTGATCACCAGGAGAGAGGAAGCGTCTACTCCTCCTCCTCCTTCGCTTCAGCTGCAAGAGGTTGAGAGGACGGTCCCCTGAGAGTAGCTGAGCGAGAGCAGGTGGAGAGCTTGAGGAGGGAACGAGATCGTCTCCTACATGCTCTTGCCATCGCAGAGAGCGGGTGGGAGAGAGTACCTCCTCTGCTCACTATGACCACCCCTTCCTCCTCCTCCTCTGGTCTTCTCTTCGTCCTCCCTCCACTCTACTCGTCCCAGCTTGTTTACCCTCATTTTGCAGGATCAAAGTAGCCAACGAGGAGAAGCTGAGCTTGAGGACTGTCAACGATCGGCTGGTGCGAAGGACTTTGACTCCCTTCCTGCATCAACACTCCGACTCTCCCTTCCTGTCCTTCCTGTCCTCCCTCAACCTCTCCTCTCCTCCTTTCCTCTGCTCCCTCCTCACTTCTCCCTCCCCTCGCTTCCTCCCTTTCATGCCTGGGCCCTCAGGTGACCGAGCGGAAGGCTCTCAACGCGGAGAGAAGGAAGCTGCAGATTCAGCTGCAGGAGCTGCGAGGAAACATCCGCATCCTCTTGCGCGTCCGCCCGCTCCTCCCATGTGAGCGCGAGGAACGGGGGGATCAAGAGGCTAACGAGCCTCCCAGCTGAAGTCCACCTGGGCCATCGCAACGCCCTCCGCCTGCTGGGCCCCATGGCACCGACCGGGTTCGGCGTAGAGATCAACATACCCTCCACGAGGACGTCGGTAGCCGCCATGCAGGCAAGCGAGAGGAGGAGGAAGGGGCTTGAGGAGAAGGGAAGCAGGGGGAGGGGGAGGGATGGAGGTGGAAGGATGCAGGAGAAGGGAGGAAGGAGGAGGCAAGGTGACTGCCGTGGTGCTCGTCTTGATTTAGATGCAGGGGAGAGCAACGGGAGGAGAGAAGGAGACGAAGAAGTTTGTCTTCGACAACGTTCTCGATGCAGATGCCAAGCAGGTGAAATGCTCCCTCCCTCCCTCCCTCCCTCCCTC